AGGAAGCTGTCAATCTGCGGTTGCTACACCTGAGTGGTTTTAAAATTCACCCAGAGAGCTTTCTAAGTGCTTAGATTTTCCTGAGCCTTACCCACATGGATTTAATTAAAGATACAGGAAGCGAGAAGGTGAAAAGCGGCCCAGGTGGGGCCGATAATCAACCACACCTGACAGTCCCGAGGCCTACGTGCGCGATGCCCAGGCTGGTACTCCGGGAAAGATTCTGCATCCAAACGCGGCACTGGAGACCCTAGGGCAGGGTCCGAGTCTGACTTACTTTGTAAAACAGGCACTACCGATTTGAGGAAAACTTGTTTCTGATTTTTCTTCAGTGGACACGGAGTTAGGTGCTAATACACCCTGTCCTTTTCCTACTTGCCCAGGTGGAAGGGAAGCTTAGTCACTCGGGACTTATGGGTGCTGGAGCTTCCATCCATGGTTGTTCTCTTCTTCAGCTTGCTTGCCCATGCCCATGCCCATCACACCCCAGTCCCTTTGAACAGGGACAGAACTAGACTGCATTCCCTCTGGGTTGTCACCCATTGTTATTTTGGGGGAGTAACTTGTTTCTTGGGTTCCACAGGTTCACAGGTAGAGAAGAACTATGCACAGGATGGATTATACCCAGAGCCTCCCCATACCAGAGGATTTAGATGAAAAGTGGGACTTTACATGAGTTGATGCTGTAAGTGGGATGAGACCTCCAGGGACCCTATTTTGCATTTGGGATGAATGTGCATCTTTGGGGGTGGGGGTGGAGTCCAGTGGGCAGACAGGGTAGGCAGAATGTCTCCCCCAGCGATGTCCATGTCCTAATCCCTGGAACCTGTGAATATGTTACCTTACCTGGCAAAAGGGACTTTGCAGATGTGATTAGGTTAGAGGCCTTGAGATGGAGAGATGATCCTGGTGAGCCCAATTTAAACACAGGAGTCCTTAAAAGTGGAAAAATTTATTGGACTGTAAGCAGATGAGGCAGAGTGGGGGGTCAGAGAGACGGGAAGTGTGACAAGGGGCAACCATGTGTCTTTTGTTCACTGCATGAGTCCCCAGAGCCTGAAACCTAGTAGGTGCTCAGTAAGTGTGTGGGAGCAGAATGACCAATGGAGCAGGCGCTGGGCACCTGCCGAGGCTGCCTGGGTTTCAGTTAACAGACACGTGGACAAGCTACCACACCTCTCTGACCCCAAGCCATTCCTTCTCTTCAGATGATAGAAATAGGGATCAGAGAGGTGAAGTGATTCACCCAAGGCCACCCAGTTAATAAACAGCAGGGTTAGGGTTCAAAGGCAGGCCCATCAGAACCCATCTGGTTGATAAACCCAACATTACCCCCACCCTCAACCCCCAAGATGGCTTGGCCATAAGGGCAAAACCCCTGGTGAGGACGGCTGCGAACCTTCTCGTGGCCCTGTTCTGTTCATTTGCTTCCTTCGGTGGCTCTCATTAACCTGTCCCTGGCGGGCCTCCCTTTTCCGGCAGCACAGGGCGGCTCTGCGTGGAGCCTGCCAGCAGGGGGCGCTAGCACCCAAGGGTGAAGACCCCAAGCCCTAAGGGCAGTCGGAGGAGTTTCTCAGAGAAAAGCCATCTCGGAGTGAAGGACATGGCCACCTCCCCAACAGCGAGGACATCACTGGCCCCGGGACCTGTCTTTCACACACACCCTCTTGGCCAGATGCCCTTGGACAAAGGACTTCACACACTTGACTGCAGTTTTCACAGCCTTAAGGGGTGAGAAGGAGGGGGATTTGTCTCCCAGGGGGATTGACACAGTAAAATGAAGCCGCGGGAAAGCTCCCAGCACAGTCCCTGGCACTTCAACGCTTGGTTGAATTTGAATTTTTTATCAAGAGATGTTTAATGATTCTCATAGGACTGTAATTTCAGATTCTGCCCAAACCACATACTTTTTTTTTATTGACTCAGCCACCTCTCTCCATTCCCTCCAGCCTTTTATGTCTTTACCAAGCCTTCCCTTATATGTACTTCAGAACGCTCTCAAACATTCTAGCAAGCACCCTAAGGCCCGTTATAACCCACCAAAAGGGACTTTGGGTATGGCCTGTTAAGTGTTCCTTTCACTTGAAATCTGGGATGTGCCAAGTGTAAATTCAAGAGCATTGTGCCTTGTGTATTTCCTCAACATTCCTACCTAAAAATCAGCCATTTACTCAACATTTACTGACTTCCATGTATGTTGTACAGGGCCCTGTGCTGGGCGAAGATAGACAAAAAGACACAATCAAACCCTGGAGGCCCCTCTGACGGGAACAGAGATACTACCAGACAATTAGAGAGCAATTTATGTGCCTATCTATGAGATCCACACTGAGACGGGCATCTAGGCCAGTTTCCATGCACCTACCAGGTGCCATCCTGTGTTAGATCTCCACTAACAGAAAAGGGCAAGCCCAAGGTCAGACAGAAAAGGACGGGACCAAGACTGACTGGAACCCAAGGGTGGCTGGGCCGCTCTCCCCTTATCCTAAGTCGGCAGGGGTCCCTTGAAGACAGCCTTTTGCAAGGGCTCCAAGATGTCTGCTAAATGTAGGTCATATGGCGGAAAAGGCATTTTCCTCCCTTGTTCTTGCAAACAAGCAGCTGTTCAGTGAATTTGGACTGTGGTCTGACATTTAGCAACACTAGCTCTAGACCATTTGGTGGCCTGACAGATCTCAGGGGACATTGTTAGGCCTGAGACCCGTGGGATATGAGGACAATTCTACACACAGTGTGTCTTCCAGGTTCCTATCCTCCTCCAGCATTAAGGCACACACCAGCAGACCAGGAGACAAAACACTCAGTCACTCACGTGGGCACTCCTTCCCCTCCCTGCTTCACCTGATGCAGAAGAATTTTGCGGTAAAACTTCAGCTTTACAAGAACATGCAACAGAAAGAATTAGGGAACTCAGCCATCCAAAACCAGCTAAATGAGGGTTTTTTTTTTTTCTTCTTCTTCTAATGTAAAGCAGTTCCAAGAAAAGTGAAGTCACAGCCTTGGGTGCTTATTTTCAGTTCTTAGAAGAGAGTCAATTTCAAAAGGGAAGCTGCGCTGCCAGAGCACGCAGCCTGCCCTTGTCTGGCGAGAGGTGCTTGCTGATAAACCAGCTTTGATTTGGCACCAGAAATCTAAAACCCCCACCGAGATGAGTTTTCATTTGGTGATGTCAAGGAGGAAATGCTAGCTGAAGCAGTGAGAGTTATTAATATTCAGAGAAACCACAACAGCTTAGCTAGCATGCTGAGGCGGCACGCTGCCAGCTCAGAGCCTCTGGAAGCCACTGGCAGTCAGCGGGGACTGTCGAAAAACACAGGGCACCCTCATTTTCCCACCTCCCACACCCCTGAGATAGCTTATTGCCCAGGTAACTATCTCAGCCCAATCAGCATTTTTCAATCGGCCATTATTTACCAGAAGTTAGATGAGGACAAATGAGGGAGGATATGGTGCAAGAGGTTCTCAGTAGCTGGGGTCAGTTTTCCAGGAGAAAAGCAGGTTTTGGATAAGGGGAACCTCAGTAGGCAGACTTGAGTTTAAGGTCTTAAGGATTGTCTACCACACACCCAGCTCAAGAGCCACTACTGGGAACCCCATAATGACTTGGAATATTTTAGCCTAAGAATCCTATAACAGAGACCCCATGAACTACATCAAAATGAAATGTCAATGAACCACAAGCAACTGGTCCATTGTCCCATCTTGAAGGACCCTCAAGAGACAAGACCACTAAATGTACTGGGGTATCCCAGATGGGACCCCGGAACAGAAAAAGAGCATTAGGGACAAAACCAAGGAACTCTGAATAAAGTGTAGACTTTGGTAATAATAATACCTCATTATTGGTTCATTGATTTTTAACAAATGTGCCCTACCAATAATACACGATATTAATAATAAAGGAAACTGGATACAGGTATATGGGAGCCCTTTGTACTGTCTTTGCAATTTTTCTGTACATTCAAAACTGTTCTAAAAAAAATTATTTTTTAAGGCAACTGATGGGTCTAGGCAAGAACTTACTACCCCTCTAGCAAAAATCATTTGGTGTCTACCATTTGCCAGCCACATATAAAAGTGATTTACACGCATCTTTATTCCTCACATCAGTGCTATGAGCTGGGTATAACCCGAAATTTATCAGTAAGGAAACAAAAGCACAGAGAAGTTAGGTCACTCATTACAGACACACAGCAAGTTTAATGACAGATGAAAAGCTGATATTCAGGTCTATAGAACTGTAAATCAAAATTTACAATTCCCAGTAGTTTCCAGCATTGGCTGAAAATGCCTGAAGTTTGAACATAAACCAGCTCAAAAGAAGCTTCAAGCAGTCAACAAACTAGATCAGCAAGAAAAACAATGTATATTCTCCAACTTGCCCCCACCCCCACCGCCTTTAAAAGTTTAAAAACACAGGAAATCCAAAACACTGACAACACCAAACACTGTTGAGTATGCAGAACAGAAACTTTCATATACTGCTGATGGGAAAGCCAAGTGGTGCAGCCATTTAGGAAGACAATGCTATAGCTAGAATATGTCCCCCCAGAATTCGCATGTGAACCTAACTCCCAATGTGAAGGTATTCAGGAGGTAAAGGCCTTTGGGAGGTGATAAGGTTGTGAGGGCAGAGCCTTCATGAACGGGATTAATGCCTTTTTTTTTTTTAATAAAAGAGACCCCCACAGAGCTCCTCTGCTTGCTTCCACCACGTACGGACACAGTGAGAGGATCAACATCTGTGAAGCAGGAAGCAGCACCCTGAATCTGCTGGCACCTTGGTCTGGGACTTCCCAGCTTCCAGAACTGTGAAAAAAAATAATTTCTGTTGTCTTTAAGCCCCCCAGACTATGGTGTTTCGTGATAGCATCCCAAATGGACTTAGAGAATCTGGCAGTTTCTTACAAGGCTAAATGTAGGCTTACCATGATCACCAATTGTGCTCCCACGCACTTAACCCAATAAATTGAAAACATGTCCACACAAAACCTGCAAAGGAATGTTTATAGCAGCTTTATTAATTGCCAAAATTGTAGTCAAACAGATGTCCTTCAATAGGTGAATGAATAAACAAACTATGAAACATCCCTACAGTGGAGTATTATTCAGTGATAAAAAAGAGAGCTACCAAGAAATACTGTAACTGTTCAGAAAAGTCTGAAATGCGTATTACTAAGTGAAAGAAGCCAGTCTGAAAATATTACATGCTGTATGATTTCAACTCTGTGACATTCTGGAAAAGGCAAAGTATGGAGGCAGTGGAAAGATCAGTGGTTGCCAGGGGCTAAGGGGGAGGGAGGGATGAATAGGTGGAGCACAGACTTTTATGAGGGTAGTGACACTATTCCCTATGATAATGTCGTGGGAGATACATAGTACGCCTTTGTGAAACTAGTAGAGCTGTATCCCACAAATTACAGCTACTGTAAACCATGGGCTTTAATGTTGGCTCATCACTTGCAACAAATGCACCACACCAATGCCAAGGTTATTAATAGAACTTGCAGGGGTGGGGGTGTCGGGCAACTCTGTACGTCCAGCTCTATTTTTCTATAAATTTAAAGCTGCTCTAAAAAATAAAGTCTATTAAAAAAATGCAGCATATGAGACAATTTATTAGTGGTGAAGCTCAATAATCTACAAAACTCTGTAGCAGTATAGCCTGACTTCTTTGATGGTAGCAATCTAAGGAAATATAAGGCATGGGGAAGCAGCAGAGAGCAGGAACCCAACATTCAATATAATCACAGCAAAAAGTCATCCCATATAAAAAAATGTAAGAACTCTAAAATCATTATGCTGTACCCCTTAGCTTTATACGGCGCTGTATGTCAATTACATCTCAATAAAACACGGGGGGGAAAATCCTGTAGGCCAGGAAGTTGCTCCCTGGAAGCGTCTCACCAAAAGTTATGAGGCAGAGGTTTGGTTAATGCCTGAAAGTTGTTCTCAATCTTGATTTTAGGTTCAACCAAAAATGTTCAAAGTGTCTCAACAACTCCAAGTGAAAGGAGGATGGCAGCAGCAGCATCCACAGCTACGAGACATAAGGTCTTAAGTGGCTGAGTGGTATCTGAAGCAGAGAGAACTGTGTCTTTGAGGCCGCTGGTGTGTGCAGTGAGAACATGCCATTTGACTTACAAATTGGATATGGAAGTTGATGGAGAAGAAGAGGAGCCATGGTCATTCCTTTTCAATGTAGCCTGTTTCCCTGCCCACAACCACACTTTAATCTCCACGGGCAACGAGTGAGATTCAAATTTTGCATCGTAAAATAGGGTCGTGGTGGTCACAGAAAAAGTATCCACTTGTAAAACTGGGAAAATGCATCATGTGTGCTTTAGAGAGCAATAACACACACAAACCAAGAGAAGAGAAAGAGAACATAACATCTGCTTTTCATCAGCAAACAGGTGTCAAAGCAAAGGGCATCAGGGGTTAAGTTAGCTGGACGGTCCCAGTGTTCAGAAACCGTACATCCCGACCACTTGGTCAACCAAAGCAAAAAGCTCTCAGAGGAACTTCTGAGAAATACACATATAATGATGTCCATGAAATCTATGTGGTAAAAGAACCTAAATTGTTTCAGAATTTCAGTTGTTTTCAACAGTTTCAAGTCATCTAAGGAATGTTCCTGTGTAAATCTTCCACTTCTAGTACCCACATGCTTTCATGGATGGGATTATCAGAAAGATCCATCATCTTCACAGCCTGAAGGCACGGCTCAGGGCTGCACACCTGGACCACTCCCATTACCATCACGTACTTTCCTAGAAGAAGAAAAGCCTGTGGTAATGTTCAAAGTGACAGGAAAAAAAAACAAAAAACAAAACAGACCCAGTCCTTCAAGAGCTTAACTTTAACAGAGAAATAAACTGGAGGACAAAAAATGCAGAGTAGATATCAAAATGCCAAGGTAGTCAGGGATCAAAATATATCTACTGACACTAACTTTCACATTTAACTTGGAGGATGACATCTGTATCTTCTTTGGCTTCTGGTTTTAAAATGTTAAAAAGAAATCCCAGCAAACTACCATCAGTCACAAAACAATCAGGCACCAGAAATGGAAGAGACTCACATGAGAGCATAAGTTATAATTAGACTGTTGTAAGGCAGGGGCAGAAAACCCAAGCTTTGCCCTCATCTGCTCCTTGCCCCTTGCTACCAGTACGTGGCTGGTCTCTGCAGAGGACATGTCCTCTTTCTGCAAAGACACTCCCCTGACAGCTCCAAAGCAAATCCTACTGTAGCTGGTTGGGTACAGAGCCCCCCACTCCCAAGGCTATCCTGTTGTTCTAACTGCTGGGGACCAATCCCTGCCACCTACCGCTTTATCTGACCACAAGCTGGGCACGTGCAAGCAAACGAACAAGAAGGCAGGCTGCCACCTGATGATCTAGTGACATATTAACTTCAACTCTCTTCCCATTCCCTTGGGGAAGTGGCTCTCCTTGAAAGCAAAACTTGGCCAGTCTTAACTGCACAAAACTCAATTGTGTAAAAACCCCACACACACAGCAGGAAGGGCAGGCATGCTGCCAGTCCGCACTGCATGGCCCTGCAAGGATGCTTGATCACACTGCTTCCACCATCAGGGCTGAGTTTGCGCTTGGGCCCCAGGGCTCTGGCAGAAGGAAGCCAGCAAGGTGACACCTGACCCTCCAGTTTTTCAACCCCTGGCTTGATGTACTTAGGTTTCTCTGAATTCATCTCCAGATCTACTTGAGCAAGTGGACAGGTTTAGACAGGTTTCCCTAAGGCATGCCACTTTGGCATGTGGACTATTGAGCTGAAGGCAATTGAGACCCTGTGGACTCAAGAGAAGCTTCTGCCCCTCCCTATACTACCTAGAAGAATCCAAATTGGGGTCTTTCCGAGAAGGGTTATTACCAGAGATAAATTTTATCTGACTGACCCATTTGTACAGGGCAAACATCTGCTCTGTTTATTGCCCTGTGACTTGACCTCCCCCTTTGAAGATCCAGGTCCCATCCCGTTCCTGAGCTCGGGTGGCATAGACACCTCATTTAGCCTTTGTCTTTGGACCTCTCATGTATGCGGGGCTCCTGTAAGGAGGAAAGAAAATTTGTTTTTCTCCTGTTCATCTTTCTCATGTCAGTTTAATTCTTAGAGCAACGAGAACTTTCAAGGGCAAAGGAAATTTGCTCTTCCCCACACGTGTAATGTGAGAGTTCCTCAGGAACAGAGACTCGTGCTAAAAATACACTTGCCATCCCCTCTGAATGGGCTTAATGTGTTGGTAGAGATGGAATCGTGAGTCAAGGAGTGACTGAAGACCCAGGGAAGGAATAACCAGCCCAAGGAAACCCCACCAGGAGACGTTAACAGGAACTCCACGCAAAGGTGCATACAACTGGACGGATGAGCTCACAGGCATGAGCTGTCCTCCTGAGATTAGACGACCTGGTTACCAGTCCTGTTCCTCCTACCCACACCCTCTGCCCACTGTCTTTGGCTGTTGCCCTTGTCCTTCCCCACCGTGCACCCACCTTCCAAAAGCCCCCCTGCCCCCGCTTCAATGGCTCCCAGCTGGTTGGCTTTCCCCACTTCTCTTCACAACCATCCCCACTCCACTACTGCTCTGGCCTTTCTCAGATGCAGCTCCTGCCTCCATGTTTGAATTTTACATCCTTTTCATTTGCCAGGAAATAGTATTCAGTTTTTTCAGTCATTGGGAGATGTAAAAAACATTTTTAGTTAATGGGATGTGCAAAAAAAGGCAGCAGCTGTCGCTTAACACCATGCTACCTTGGAGGGCAGAAAGGGGGGTTGGAGGGGCCGGGGGTTGCAGCACAAAGGAGGCAGGAGCCTCTGAGAGCAAATAACAGTCACAAGTTTTCAAACCCTAAGCGCCAGGCCTTGCGTTAGGCTGTTTTATGTACTGAATCCACACAACAGGCCCCTTCTGAGAAAGGGCACATCCCTGAATTAAGAAAAGTGTTCAGGCAGCTCAGCTGGAAAGAGGCAGAGCCAGGAATTCAACCTGAAGCCTGGAAGACACCGTGCTGGCCCCCTGTAGTCAGGCCCCGGGGTTCTTAGGGTGGACCCCAGGACAGCTGCCATCTGCACCTCCCTGGAGCGGTAAGAAAAGCAAATTCTCAGACCCAAGGACGATGCAACTCGGGTGGAGCCCAGCCTTGGCGTTCCAACAAGCCCTCGGGGTGAGTCTGATACACCACCGGTTTAAGAGAAAGCAAACAGTAGTGAACTACAGCCAGAGGCAGTTCACTTAAGGTCAGGTGCAGGGCTCCCCACTCCGTGGGGCCAGGGGGGCTTCCCTGAGAAAGGTCCATTTGAGTCTAGACGTTAAGGATGAACTAGAAGCTTCCTACTACAGTATTTTCTAACATTTGATGGTGGGGAGAGGGGAAACCGCCTGCGGGGAACGGCTTGTCACAAATACAGAAGCTGGGGGTCCCTCCCCCGGAGACTCCGAATAGGAGGGGTGCGTGTGTGGGGTGTGGGGAGCGGGGGGGCCTGGATCCTGTAGTGTTTAGAAACGCGCTGCTGGTGATGCTTATTCATCAGACCAGCTTGCCTGGGGGAGGGGCAGGAAGGAGGGTACCGAGTACCGAGGTGGGGACCCGCACAAAGGTCCGGAGGTGGGACAGCCAGGCCGCGCCCTTTGGTGGCACAAAACCAGGGTCTGCCCCGGATTCGAATCCGGCCGTTACCTGGGGAGAGGCAGGGCCGCCCGCGAGGCACCCGCTCCAGGCCGCGCACCGAGAAGGGCCCGCTCGAGTCGCGCAGCCGCGCCTCGCCGCCGCCCGCTGCCACCACCGTGCCCTGCATCCACACGGCCGCCAGCTCCAGCGGCCCGCGGCCCGCCGCCGCCCGCGACAGCCGCCACGCGCCCGGGCCACCCTCCGCGTCGCGCCGCAGCTGCTCCGCTAGCACCTTGAGCGGCGGCGACCGCGGCAGCTTGACAGCCGCCGGGCCGCCGCTAGAATACGAGTCAGCCGCAGCCATTAACCCCGCCGCCGCCTTCCCGCCAACTCTGATAGGCAGCGGGGCCCGGTCCGCGGCCACCATTCAGAAGTGCTCTGGCGGAGCCGGCCAATGACCGGCATTGGAAGGCGGGGCCGCCGGGCCGAGCCGCCCCCACTAGCCGCCAGGAGTGCGCATGCGTACATAAAGTCACTACCCGCCCCCAAGCTAGGCATGAATGGTTGAAACGAATTAAAAGAAGCCCAGGGAAGGAAGGATCGAAAGAACTCTCTCAACTGTTGCTCAAAATTTGGCGTGCATGCAAATCACTTGGAGGATGTGGCATTTACATCGCCTTGCATAACAGGGTGCTCTGAGGCTAGAAATACCAGCAAGGACAAACGAAAAATAGCAGAGGAGCCCATGCTTACTGGGAGTGATTAAGAATCCAGTCGAGAGAGGGCTGGGAGGCACCGGGGCAGCTAGTAAAATAGCTCCTTCTTTTATTACTATTTTTATTTATTATATTTTAATAACATTATAAAAGTTAATAAAATATATTAGTTTTTTCTCAAAAGAAATTCACATTCATTGTAGAAAATTTAGAAAAGGAAATATGGAATAACAAAACATTGTAAAGATCACTCAGAGAAATCCACTTAATTTCTGTATACATTAGCATCCAGGTTTTAAAATCTATATACATAAATAGATTTTTGATATACAAATACTGTTTTATATACAGTTTTCACTTCATAACAAACATCTTTCCATGGCAACAAACATGTTCCTGCTACCCCTTGGGTGACTGCATAATATTCTGTCTGTCTTACCTATTTAACCAGTATCCTATAGTCGGACATTAAGGCTATTTCCAATTTTTCATTTTATAAAACCACTACTGTGAACCTACTTAGAGCTAAATCTTTGTTCACATTTCAGATAAATTTCCAAATATGGAATTGCTCCCTAAAAATTAAATGTCCCCAAGCAGCAAACTCCACAACAGTCAAGTGGGGCACAGACACAGGAAGAGACACTAGGCGGTCACCTCTCTGCTCTCATCATTTACCCTCTCTCCCCTGCTCCCTTCATTCCACTGCAATCCTACTTGCCTCTCTGCTGTCCCTCAAACACATCAGGCACCCTCCTGCCTCAGGATCTTTGCACAAACCCAGACTTTGTGATCCCCTGGGTATTTGACCCTGACAGCCCATCTTAACTCACACTAGTCAGGTTCAAGTGCTAACTCACTTCATGAGCACCATTTAGAGGAGTGGAAGGCTTGGCCCTCTCAGCTGCTGGCTACCTGGCCCTGGGCACTATCAACCCACATTTTCCTTGACCTTTCCATAAATTGCAAACCACTTAGAAGGAGATTTATGCTGTCTCTGACAGATCTATAGATTAAGTCTGTTTAAAATCCTGCCACCTTTCTGTCATTAATTCCTTCATTAAGAACGTTAGTTAAAAAAAAAAAGTTAGCTTTTATTGAGCACTGACCATGTGCCTGGCACTATTACAAGCCTTTCCATACTTTACCTCATTTACATCTCTCAATGACCCCATACCGCAGATGTGGCCATGTTATAGACCAGAGAGGCCAAGGAATGTGCTCAAAGCACACAGATCACCAGTGGAAGAGCTGGATATGAAGCCCTGGAAGGCAGGCTCCAGAGTCTGTGTTCATACTACTGCGCCACTCTCACTCACTAATTCATTCATGCACAAACACCGGCCATAGGAATCAAGGTGGAGGTGCTTGGGGCTGGCAAATCAGGAGACCTGGGGCAGGGCCTCTCTCTGCCACTGCCTGGTAGGTGGCCTTGGGCAAGACTGTCCCTCGCTGAGAGTTAAGTGTCCCCTTCTGTGGAATTAAGCAGTTGGGTCATCCTAACTCACAGCTTCCCTGCAGATAGGACCTCTGCCTACAGCCAGACTTTATAATGAATTCTCTAAGACTTCAACCTCTGGCCCCCAAGGAAAACCTTATACCCCACCTCTCATGCCAACTCTGGCTGGTGACGCCATCACTGCTGGAAAAAACATGATGGAAGATATGGATGAACCCATTCCCCCTAAAAAAAAAAAGGAGCAAGAGGCAGCAATTATGTGGGCACTTGCTCTGTGTCTTACATGCATCATCTCATGTCATCCCCACAGTGACCGGATGAGGCAGACACTGTTTGTTACACCCATCTTACAGATGGGTGGACTGAGGCCCAGAGACATTCCACTCACCCAGGGCCAGTGCAGAATCACATATATTCACCATACAACCCAGCGTTCCCACTCTTAGGTGTCTACCCTAGAGAAATAAAAACTTAAGGTTGCACAAAAAACATGGAGGTTTATAGCAGTCTATTCATGATCACCCCCAAACTGGAGACAACCCAGATGTCATTCAACAGGTGAATGGAGAAACTACCTGTGGTACCTTCACACCATGAAATCCTACTCAGCAAAGAAAAAGAATGGGCAACTGACAGACACAGCAACTGGGGTGGATCCTACACGTGTTAAGTTATCAGCAAAAGAAGCTAGACTCAAAAGTCCACATACTGTTTCCACTCCGATGACATTCTAGAATGGCTAAAACTATAGGGCAGAAACCAGACCAGTGGTCGCTAGGGCCTGGGGAGGTGGAGAGGCCTGACCACAAAGGGGCAGCAGGAGGGAACTTTTGGGGGCTGATGGAGTTACCTGGTTGTGGTGGACGTTACACCTATGTTAAAAGTCACAGAACTGCACACACACACACATACACACAGCAGAATCCCAGCCCTAAGCTAGGTGACTCCATATAAATGGCACCAGCTGCCTTTTGTCACAGGCTGTGGCCCAGCTGGAAAACATTTCATCTTCAGGTGGATCAGTGTAGGAGACCCAAGAAAGTCCCACAGAAGAAAGTTAGTGCTTGAAGAGGTCCGGGAGACTGGGGAGTGAGGGCTGAATGGCTACAGGGCCTCTTTTGGGGCTGATGTCAATGTTCTGGAACTAGATAGGGGTAGTGGTTGTACACTGAGAATGTACTAAATGCCACTGAATTGTACATTTTTAAATGGTTCATTTTATGTTATATGAATTTCACCTTTGTTTTTTTTTTTTTAAAGTTTCAAATCAGGGAGAAAAATATCCAAGGGTAACTGTGTTCTAAATCTACCCCCAAGAACCAGGTCTCAGAGGTTAAATAAGTTGCCCACAGCCACACAGCCTATATATGAGGCTAACTGTGAATCAGTCTGCCTCCAAAGCTTGAGTCCTTTTCACAGGACACATGTGATAAAATGGGTTAACTATCACCCCCTGGAAGCTCTGGCCAGCTATTTCTCCTCTGCCATGGATGACCTCAGATCAGTGTAGGTGTGGCTTCGACCAACACATTTTCCAAACCAAAAGCAGGGACACAGAGTCCAGGCCAGGATTCCTCGTCCCTGAGCAGTGTGGCCTGGTTTATGTGAAAGCTCTCCCAAGGGTGTAAAGAAGAAAGCCAGGCCAACACATCGTACCTGTCATGGACCCCTTCCCCCCAAACGATCACAGCTCTGTGAAAGTAAAACGTTCTGGAAAACTGAGACTGAGCATCCCTGGGCACGTTAACAGAGAAAGAAAAAAATTTCTGAGCAGGACAGTGAATGGAAATGGCCTATTTCATGAGGCAGGAGGAAAAGTGGGGGGCATGCAATGTTGAAATGGCCCCCACATGGCAGCAGGTGCATTTTTCCATTAGGGTTTGGGCAGGTGTAGGCTGGGAGGCAGAGGGATGGATACAGTGACCACCCGCCAAAGCTTCAAACAGTTTCTCCAAACCGGAATGCCCCAAGTGTCAGAAAGGGGTAGTTTCCAACTGTCCCAGGACTGAGGTCTCCTGGAGGGACATGACCCTCATTATTGGTTCACTGCGGCGTTCAGCTCTCCTGCCGGGGTGCTCTGCTCACCTCTGAAGGAATCAAACCTCAGTCTCACAAAACGGCAACACTTGAGCGAACCCAGCTGGGAGCAAAGGAAGTGTGAGTCAGCCCTGGGAGGTTCTGAAGAAAAGGCTGTGATGGGGGTTACAGCTGCTGGGCCGGGAGGCAGTTTGCACAAGCCTGGGGCTGGACTCTGGGTGCCAGCTGCCCTTGGGGACCTGCGGGCAGAGGGCTGGCAGCAGAGGGCCCTGGGGGAGCTGGAAGGGGCTGGGCTCCAGAAGGGTGGCCAGGGGAGTCCTGGGACAAGGGAGACAACTCCAGCTGTGTGCAAACTTTCCCTCTGAGCCACACCCCCGCCCTGCCAGGGAGGTTTGCTGCTGCCCCATTTTGCAGTAAGACTGTATGTTAACCGACAAGTGCTCTCAGAGTGCCTGCCGTGTGCCAGACACTGGGATGTGGTAGTGACAAAACAGACAAGGACCCTGATTTCTGAAGTTTGTAGTTTGGTGAGGGGCAAGGAGAGAGAGCATGTTTCAGGTGATGTGTGTGCCTGTGAAGGAAACAGACGAGGCAGGTGGACAGCGGGGCTGGGGCTGGGAAGGCTGTTTGCAGGCAAGGCTCAGGCTGAGACCTGGATGATGGGAGGCAGCCAGTGATCCTGGGAAGGGCACTCCAGGTAGGGGGAGCTGCAAATGCACAGGCCCTGTGGTGGGAATGACCCTGTGTGTTTGAGGAACAGAAAGGCCAGCATGGATGGGTGTTGTGGGCGGGGGGGCAGTGGACGGTGAGGCCAAGAGGTTGGTAGGGTGCCTGATCCCTTAGAGATGCACGTTTTGTTCTAAATGCAACAGGAATTTTCTGGAGGTTGAGAGACAGACTTCGGGGCCAGGGGTGCCTGCTCAGATTTTCATCTTTCACAGACACTCCTGACTGCTGTATGGACAGTGCCCGTGGGGGCCAGAAGTGGGCAGAGCAGCCAGAGGCTGGGACTGCAGCCTCTGGCAAGGCCTGGGGCTTGGAGCAGGGTGGTGCCAGGGAGGTGACGAGAAGTGGCTGGGTCCAATCCACCCCGCTGGTGGCCTGATAAGGGGTGACAGAGAGGGGCGTTGAGGGGGATGCTGTGGCCGGGGCCTGGTCTGGGGTGGGCACAGGTGCCTCACCGAGACAGGGGT